CGCATAACCAGTGACCTAGAAAAAGGAACGCCGATCACTCCCCGGAGTTGGCGGCGGCGGAGGAGCCGCGCCTCTAACAAACGCGCCAGTCTGCTGGTGATCAGGGCAAACTGAGGCATTGTGGGTACGCGGGAAAGACAGCGGTGAATGTGTGACCCCCAAAGCGTTGAGGAAGAGCAGACGAAGTGAGTTGCCGTGGACGGCTTTGTTTGGATGAAAGAGAGTCAGTTACGGTCAATTCCAATTCATAGAATTTATGACAAGACGGAAAATTGTGGACAGAGATGGACATTTGAGGACGTAAACTGACAGGATGTAGCAGGGACAATGAAACGTCAAATATGACCCAGACTAAAACAGATGACACTTTTTTCATGGCATCTGATAAACTTTTTTATTTTATTGCAATAATAATTATTTATCCGCCTCCAGCCTTACAGCAATAGAACAGTGTGTTATAAAGCACTTATTAATCATCAATGCAGGGTTGAAGTAAAGTGTTGGCGAGAAGTCTTGAAAAATACTTTTAACTCTTGGCTCCATCCTGGTCTTGCTTCATCATCCCTGCGTTCTCCACCCAGCCCTCCGTGATACCATCTGATGATTCCAACCATCCTAAATTAATGTTGTCTAATCAATTAGTTTGATAAAGCTGCTGAAATGTTTGAAAAGTTATTTAAAACATGGATCCCCCTGATGGCTCAGGGCCAATTACACAGTTAGACGTTGACCATCAGAATGAAATATTCTTTTACACTTCTGATCATCCCAAAAACAATCAGATCATCGATATCTGATTATGTCACATTGTAAACAACCATTCCGTGTATGAATCAACACCAGGAAAGCGAGTAACGCTAGCAGCTAATAGCCAGGAAAAAAGCTTGCATTGAGTTACATTATGATGTGTTCAAGCTCTGGTGAAGGAAGGAAATTATTATTTATTATTACATAATTATGGATCATATTAATTCATCATTAAAGCTACAAATGAAAAGATTTAGATCTACAGATGACTAAAGCAAAATAAAAGGAGTGTGTGAACGTGGAAAGCCCACAGAATGGTATCGGTTCCCAGTCCTTGGAATATAATGTTACAACATGAGGCAGAACAGCAATCAGTACATCTTTCATTTCCAAATGACAAACAATACAATATTGAAATGTCTCAAAAGGCTGCATCTCCAGCTTCGATTCCCTATCGAATAGTTTGGGCACCACTGCCTTTATAACGATGTGAATCAAAGAGAGAGGGAGACTCTCATTAGTGCCGAGGGGAGAAGACTCCTGCATTTTTTTCCCATCAATTAGCACTGCGGCCAAACGGGAGCAGCGGCGCTGATCGTTGAAGGAGCTGCAGCCAGCCAGCGGAACCAGCAGCTCGGTTACTGGATGACTTCTGATCCGGGCCCAGACGGGGCCACCGCCAACCCCGGCTGGAAATCACTCACACGCTTAACCACGAGTGCTGCTCCTGACGTGCAACTTAGTCCGTTAGCGAGGCCATTAGCCGTTCCCTCACGCTCCGGATGTTTCTTTACATCGGGAAGTAAATGTGAATAAATTAGACAACATAAAGCAACGTGGGGTGATTCTGGTTCCTGGTTTGCAGGATGCTGTTAGCTGCAAATTACATCTTGCAGTTTGGAAGGAAGGTTCCAAATTTAGATCTTAAAGTGGTGACAATTAGATTAACTATGAATAAAAGGAATAATTAATATTCCACAAAATCATTCTCTTTAGTTCTCTGTAGTCTTTGCCTTTGTACTGTTATCATTCTACATGTTCAGTTCTCTCAGGATAATTCAGATAAATCAAGTGGCTAGAAACAATGTGGACAACACGGACATATTTAACCACAGGTAGCCTGTTCTATTCGGGTCACAAACCCAAAAAGGTCAGGAAAACACGGGCACCGCGTGTACGGGATTTGTCGAGATTTGAGAGGGAAATGTTGGACCGCGTCCTCGTTTCCCTCCTCAAAGAAAGAAGGTCTGCGCTTCCTTTCATTTGTCTCCTCGTCGACGTGCATCACAGCCTTCACATTAATCACCAGTCTGTCGCTCGGCGCTCTCCTCCTCCTAGTCTCAATTTATTCACATTCCTCTCTTTTCCCCTTCCTTTACCGTGAATCACGCCTAATTAGGCGCTTTCTAGATCTGATTTTCATAAAAGGCCTGGGGGGAGGGGTGGGCGGTTAAGGGGGGCGAGATTTGGTTATGACAATTATTTTTCATATATGAAACGGGGACAAAGGATAAATGGTTATTAGTATTCTGCACCCTGAAAGAAAATCAGTGAAAGATCCCGCTCTTGATTCTGCTATTACAACGGGACACTACTATTTTTTGGTTGTTTTTTTTTTTTGTACCCGAGAAAATGAGACGTTTGATCAGAAAATCATCACGTTAAAATGTCATAAGCCAGAAGCAGCTCACTAAATATCCACACAGCGACAATGGACTGGGGTGTTTCTTCCCTTCGTGCAGGACTGATTGCGTCTGCGTCGCCTCAGCTACGGTCCCCTGCAGTTGGTCCCAATTACTGGCTACCATGGTTGCAGCGAAGCCGTATCAACTGGCAGAAACAGAAAGCTGCAGAAAATGTGACCGTCTTAAAAGGTTCAACGATGCCATGATATACGTATTCCACACACACACACACACACACACACACATGTTGTCCGGCTCTTTTTATGTACTGAATAAGTGAGTCTCTACATTATTCAGAATGTATTAAGAACAGCAGCACCTTACAGCCTCGGGCGGATGCAGGGGGTGAGAAAACATTGGTTTAGGTGGTGAAGATCCGGTGAGGGTTTTTGTTGTATTAACAACACACACACACACACACACACACACACACACACACATATTCCCGTACACTGATGATGCCATATTGAGTGGGCTCTATTGTTTACGGCCCCCTGGACAGGGTCTCCAGATGGCAGGGTGCCTATTACTGCGGCCCCTACTGTGAGGGGCCCCACTGTGTGTGTGTGTGTGTGTGTGTGTGTGTGTGTGTGTGTGTGTGTGTGTGTGTGTGTGTGTGTGTGTGTGTGTGCGTGTGTGGTTGCATGTGTTCTATGAGATGCTAAGTGTATAGATGCAAATACAGAGAGATATTCACCTCTATATTTGTGTGCATTGTCTATATGACTGTAGGGCAGGTCGTGTGTGTGTGTGTGTGTGTGTGTGTGTGTGTGTGTGTGTGTGTGTGTGTGTGTGTGTGTGTGTGTGTGTGTGTGTGCTGGCCGAGGGTGAGCCAGAGGCGACGCACAGTGCGACACCGGTGTGACATTCCTTCAAAGGCCTCATCAGAGCCTTTTTCGCCCACAAAGGAGAGGCCAGCGCGTGTTCCTCCGGGGGGATTAGCTTGGGCATCAGTCATTAAGGCCTCAGTGAAATGGCCCAGAGGACACGCTTTCTGGATCTATAGCATGAAACACACACACACACACACACACAACACTCGCACAACACTCGCACAGCCATGTGGTGGACCCAGCTCATGAATATCATTATACAGTAATGGAGGATGCAGGGATGAAGCTGGCGTCACACAATATGATTTGCTATGCAGTTTTTTTTTATGCTTAAAATTTAAGAAATAATAAACACAAATGTCAAATGGACAGTTTGCTACATTTGCCAAACCGAAGAATTGAAAAGCGTGGGTTGTTTTTTCCGTCTCCATCAGCTCTCATTGACGTTAATCATCCACCTCTGACCTTTTACCGCACATCAACAATACAACACATCGATCAGCAGAGAAGAGCCGCGGCGTCAATTTGTCCACAGTTCTCTGTGGGTCACTGAGGTTGGCCAGAAACAGATTGCTTGTGACAGGATTATGAGAAATTGAATTTAAATAGATTGGGGCTTTATTAGCGTGACTGAAATCAAGGAAGTTCAATGGTTGTAGTAATGGAAGCGGTGAGATTATAGTACAATAGTTTTATTCATTTTGACTCTTAAATATGTCAGAAGGAAATTAAAGTTATTGTTTTGTGAAGAGCTAAAATCAAATGACAAAATGAATCATCAGCTTCACGTTCTCAAACATGCTTGAATATTAGCTTGGTTTATTATTTTGCTATTGTAAATATTTATATTTGATAATTGGGTTTGGACTCGTTCATTAAACATTTCTTTAGTTTTTCTTACATTTTAAGAAATGTTAAGGATTTGAAAAGATGACATCTAGAAAGTAATACGTATGAGATTCAATACGGAGTATAAGCAGTAGTAAGTAGTGTTTCCTTATTTTAGATCTTTGTTATTGCAATAGTTTTTTAAAGATTATTTCTATATATTTTATTTACACTCAGTTTAATTTATTGTGCCTCTCTTTTATTTTAAATGCACTGATCACTATGTCATTTTTTTAAAAGCTTAATTTCCTGCCTTGACAACACCGTGATGGCCAACTTCTTGAGTAAGGACATCAGAAATCTAAAAAGTCTTTCTGATTGTTGTTTCATTTGTGTGCAATACCAAAAAATTACAAGTGACTAGAATGGATCTAGAGAACATTTACAAATATCTATCTCCTGCCACCCAAGTAACATATGTGAACTTGCAAGGGAAGCGGACAGGACAAGCTGCAATGCTTCCTTCAGCATACTGCACAGAGACACGCTGACATTTCATCATAATGGGGCCAATAATACATTTTGTTCATCGTTTATGGAGCAGCGGTCAGGACTGATGTGATATCACGATGTGTACCTCAAGCTGCCGCAGCATGTCTCATACTGGGAAGCGTTTAGATGAACAGTAGATTGACTAACAGCTGAGATTCATGTTACTGAGACTTTATTAGCATCTATGACATGTTGTCATCGCCTATAATAAGCTTCCTATCCATGCCGTCGACTCTCCTTCTTCTCCATCATCGGCATTCTTTGCACACCACTGCTTCTTCGGTCGGTGATGCATTATTTACACAGTGGTCTGGATCCACGAGCTCTCCGCCCGTTGCCGTTGGCTGAGCCACGCGGCCCAGGGGCGGAGGAAGGGGGTGGGAAGGATAGGTGGCCCGGTGCGTTTTTTCTTTTTCCGAAAGAGCGAGCAAGCGAGGCAGAAATGTAGCGCTCTCCGAAAGGTCATCGCCACCCACTGGGTCTGCTGTGATATTTTCATTATTGAGGTAAAAAAAAAAACCTCTCAGCTCTCTGTGTCTGTGCACCACCTTCAGGCCTGCTGCAGTAATCCCCAGTGGGCCAAACTATGTGATGGAAGGAAAAGGAAGAGGGATGTGTTTGGTGTTGTGTGTGTGTGTGTGTGTGCGGGGGGGTAAAGGATGAAATGTGAGCAGAGGAGAAAGGAAAAGAATAAGATGTGGAAAGAGAAGAGGAAGGAAAGCAATTGTAAGGAAAAGGAGTGAGACAAAAAGGTAAGTGAAAAAGAGCAGAGACAGAAACTGAAAGACAAAGATGGAGGTATAAGGAGATAAAGGAAGGAAGAGAGACTTCATTACAGGGACGTGTCTCTTGCTAAAGCTGGGAATCAGATAGGCTCTGATTGTTTTTCTCAGATACACTGTAATCTGGCTGATCTCCAAACAGGGCTGTAATTGGATTCTTCTGGGATGATCAGAAAAAAAGTCCTATTAACTGTCTCCAAACAACAGGACCAAGAGAAAGAACATCGATGACCTCAATGATGGATAAAGGTTTGGCTTTTTGACAAGGAATCAGATTATTTGATAATAACTAGGCTCCAAGATGTTTGATATAGTTTGACCTGTTTCGATGCTGAATTGTTTTTATTTATTGCAGTAGAATATTTGCTGTAAGACAATTTATTTATGTGAGATCTACAGATATTGTAATAAATGTACGCTTCCTTAACCAGTAAGGATGTCCCCCATTGGTAATGTGAAATGTTCTCACAATGCTGTTGGGTCAACGGGGCAAATTCAATCAATGGAGCAACATATTTTCTAGTTACGTGAGAGAATCGACACCAATCTTGATATGAATCACAATTAGCCAGCATACACGCAACAGTAAGCCATGAAGGTTCTGTGCAAAACAAAATGTTTATACGCTTATACGCTGCGACCGTTATGCTGCAGTTTTATTGTTTTCACTTTACGTATTATTTTCCTTCATTTTTTGCTAATCTTATGCAATAAATGCTCAATGACAGTGTGTCATCCGTATGCTTGAACAAAACAACAAGATAAATTAAAAAAAGGGATCAGATTTCTTTTCTCTCAGCTGGTGGAAGCTGAGATCTGTGTTTCTGTCCACCAACCACACACACACACACACACACACACACACACACACACACAAATAAATGCATAGATAAAACATCTGGCACGAACGCACACAAGAATACTAAAATAGAAAACCTTTTTAAATATAACAAGATATTGTTGTCTGAACATATTTCGTATAACCCTGAAGTAATTACTGTCACTGAAGGTGTGTGAAATTGGTGTAAAAACGCCAAAGCTGACTGTTAATTAGTTTATCCTTTGAAATGGCATTAAAACTTCCATGAAAATATAAAGCTCTAATTGCCGTAGTAAACTCTTCCAGGGAGACTGAGGTGGATGTCGCCAAAGCAAAACAACTTTGCCAACAGGCTCATTTGAAAAGCTTTTCATCCACTAAGGTTGTTTTTCATGTGATTTCTTCCTCGTTGCCTCCGGGTGAGGAAGTAGAGAAGAAGGCGGAAACACTTTTAACATTCACTTTCCTCAACAATCCCAGCTTTTTTTTTTTTTTACCTTCTGTCTCTTTTTGCTCATTTCCCCTCCATCCATTTCCACCACATCCCTCTCTTCTCCCGTCGACCTGCTTTATTCTGCAGGCAAATGCATTTATAGGTTCCATTACAGGCTCAAATCAGCGGATGCTCCTCTGATGCTCCTCTGACGTCTGTTGGAACTTCTTTTAAGGGCTTGATCCTCCTAGATATATATCTATATATACTAAAAACATACAACTCAAAGTTTCATGAAGCAGTGTTTGACCCCTCACCTTCATTCACTTGATGTTGCTATTATCATAAAACAGTACGACTGTCCTTAATACAGCTTTCCTGCTTTTATCTTCTATTTCCTTTTCTTTTATTCTCGTCTTTTCTTTCGGTCCGTTTTCTTTCTTTTTTCGCTCCCCTCTGCTGCTTTCTTTCCCCCTCCAATTCTCCCTCTCTCCGCTGTCCTTTGATTCACCACCATTTTCAATAGCAGCAGCCAAGGTTATTTGGCAGCCGCCACAGAGCCCATTTGTTTGTCCCTCTCTGTGCCTGAAGAAGACACTCTGCTATTCTAAATGGACTCCAGAGGAGAGAGTCTTTTTGAATTGGTTTAAAAAGGAAGGCCAACAGATTCCCCCTTTCTCCCTCTCTCCTTCTCTGCCTTTGTGGACCCTGACAAAGGAGTCTCTCTGTGTTTGCCACGGGACCAGACGCAGCCAGGCAGTGGACAGGATGCTGGCCCTGGAAGTCCGTCGGTGTCCTCCTGCTGAAGGAACTTGGCGGTGTGCGCTGGAGTGACCTGATCCTCAGTGAGAACATTAAGGTGATGTCACTAAATCGCGCCCCACTTCCCTTTCCCGACAAGGTTGAGTTTTGATATAATGATGGAAACACTCCTAGTCTGTAGATGTGATGGCACAACATTGAGTTTGAGGTCTGGTTAATCTCAGACACAAACAAATACTTGTTTGGCGATGGGAGCTCCGTCGTCGTGGTTGCAAAAACATGCACGTTGTTATGGTTAGGGAATGATCATTATTTTATAGATAATAGAGATTTCCCGAGTCTCACTACAAAAAAGTACATAAAATGGACAAAATATTTAAAATTTTATTTTTCATTTTAAATCTATTTAAACCATTTTCTGCTTTCACTTAGTTGAAGCTTACAAACAGCTTCAGTCCTGAACATAAAAACACGAATATTTATTCATTTTCTGAATTTGGATTTAGACTTTTTATTTTTTGTGCATATGTATAAAATCCACCCACTTATTACCTTAGAGGACGGGCAGCTAAGCCCCTTGTAGAAACCAATATAATATAATGTATTTGCCACTTGAACATCAGAAAATGACAGTGGAAAATGTGGAGGAAGGAGGTAAAGAATCTTGATCGAAAGATAGAGTACATGACTTGAAATGAAATTATGGTCAAAACTTAATGAGTATAACTTAATTATAACATTTTGTAGCTGTACTTTAGCCACACAGTTTATTATGACCTCATTATGCCACCTGAGTGCCGTGTGCATTTTGTGGAACCTCCGTTGTCCCTGACCTCCTCCCTTTGCCACCATCATAGTTACAACCGCGCTGCAGGTTTCAGTCGCTTGAACAGATGTTTTTCACTTTCTGAAACCACACCCAAAAGTGAAGGGACTGAACCTTGATTACTGCATTTCATGGCAGCTACTACGTCCATGCCTGATTGACCTGCTGATTGATTCAGCAGCAGGGGACACCTCTGGGTGCCCGTTCTGCCGCTGTGCATAATCAGCCTGAGATCTCAGAATGCTGCACATTCCAACAAACAATATAGAGATTTTGTCTATTTCAAGTGTAAAAGTCTAGACGGTTCCTGAATTGGGATATAGAAGTCTGAGTTTGTGCATCACAAAAAAGTCTTAATCAGAAATATTCATGTATGCTTAAAAAAATCAGCAGTAATTTCCTAAATGATTCCGGCAGAGATAAAAAGACATGCAATAATCTCATTATTTCAAATGTGTTCCACGGTAGAATTGCTTCCCGTCTTGCGTTCCATTGCAGCGCCGCGTTAAAGGCCTCACAGTGCAACCTCGTCTCTCCCCGCTGCTCCAAGGCACTCGATGCAAAACAACCCGGAGCTGGATGGAAGTCGTGCAGGAGTCAGCGTCTCCCTTGTGAGAGGAGAGCCAATGGGTTTCTTTCAGGCCGGCGGGGGGGAAGCAGAACCCCATGAGGGGCCTCTATATGATAAAGATACAATAGCAGCACAGAAAACTACAACTAATTACTGGATTTGAATGCAATGCAATGGTGATTTTGTTCATGCGTGTGTTACCTTTTTAGGTCCATAAACAGCAAAGTAATCAAAACACCGGGGTCATATTCTCGTCATGTTTATTTCTCCATGAACGCCTTTATTTCATTGATGTTCAATGTCTGACTTTTCAGCACGCACTACGTATTCATGTGTTGATTCATTTGCTGTATTTAGGGTTTTTCATTCTGTGCAACCATTATTTTTGGGGCGACTGTCCTGTAATCCCGAATAGCTCTTGAAGGCCGTGCCATCGGTGTGTGAAATGTCTTTGGAGATAGACGGTGCTTCCAGTATACCAGTACGGAGGGTGGAGCAAGCGCTGCCCTGTTTACACTCACGTCAACCAGCTAGCGTCCTCGCTCGGGGGAGGACGGGGCGGCCGGGGGGCGAAGACGCTGCGTGTCCTGTTGCTCTATTCCTTCTTGCCGTATTCGCTTGCATCCAACAACTAGCTCATTAAACTGTGGTGCAGACTGACAGTTCATCCTAACCTCTCTCTCTCTCTCTCTCTCTCTCCCTCTCTCTCGTTTCATCATTACGTTTCGGTGCCGGGCTCAAAGGTAACCGGGCAAACCCTTTGAGGGAAAGCAGCGTTTTTGATGAGCATGTCACTCCGTCACCCCAAACACGCCTCATTAGCAGTTCAGTCGAAACACCTCCCTGCACCACCAACCGGCCCCCACACCTCCACCCTCCCATCAAACACACACACACAAACATTTTCTTTTGCTTTTCTGTCTCTCGCTCCGTCTCCCATCTCCCTCCCCCCTCTGCTGTTTTTTTGCAGCACTAATTAGCTGGCTTCTCCCTCTCCTGTGCCTCCCCCAGTCACAATCTCAAAGGGAGACGGATATGATTTTTCTTTAACCCAAAGGCCAACTTAATCAGCTGAATTAATGACTTTATTACCCGTTAGGCTCCGGGCCATGCAACACATTTCCCCTCCAATGCCCGACGCTGTCTTCCTCTGCCGCCCCCCCCCCTGAAGGATTTCTTTACATTTCAAAAATAGAAATAGTAGAGAATAAAGAATAACAGTGAGACATGGACGTGGTTGTCGGGAGCATAATGTGATATTTCCTAATATGTTCCTGCCAACCACCTCCTCACATACATATAGTGTATAGTAATTGATCACAGCCATGGATACATGTGCACTCTAATGACTACAATTAGCTCCGAGTCAGTTATGTGTGAGCATTGTGTGCGTGGGTGTCATCATCACCATATCTGGAGGTAAAACAAGGAATATGCGCCCCTTAACAATTTTTGTCACATCAATCCAATCCAATGTTTAAATATGTTAAATTAAACACCACCTGTGTGTGTCAAGATGGCGACACACACACACACACCTGCTGTAACAATGACAATCCCTGCTTTCTTTTGTTGTAAAGGCTAAAGCGCTGTAATGAATTGATACCTTCGTGCCTCCTCAGTAGATGCATTACCACAATTGAAAAACACCACTGATAAGGAGATGCGCCATTAGTCTTCTCATTTACTTGACACACTCTAACAGAGCCCAGAGGCCTACACACTGTGAGAGGTTCACGCTGTGACAGCCGAGTAATGAGTTGGTTCTGCAGACCAAGAGGGCCGAGCCTCGAGGAGACTGGACACTTGCATCTGTAGTGGATACTTCAATAACCAGTTAGAAGCTTAAAATTATTATTAATTGTTAGAAACCAAACCAGCACCTTCAAGGTATCTTGGAACCTCAGGCAGCTAAAACAGCATTTGCTCTTCACTCACATATTTGGTAAGAACTTCAGTGTGGTAGCCCAGGAAATTATTTCTCAATGAACTCTGTCCTGGACTGCGAAGCATGATGAAACAAACAGGCCACAGTTGGCTCTGAGCTACAGTATAGATTCCTCCCAATCAACACCATCACTGCCGTCTGATGTTGAAGTTATTGGCATCACCTGTGAACTGCAAGGGGGTTCGTCTGCGGATCCTCATTAGCAGCTGATGCCACCTCAGAGGAGGAACACGGCTCCGCGGCATGTGTGAAAAACAACGTGCGCTCACGATAACTCAAACGGATTCCCAATCAGACCTTCCACCTGCAACCTCCACTTCACCACTAATTCCCACAACACTGTGAAGCTGATACTAAAAATGTATTCCTCTTTATGTGTGACGCACACAGACCCACACAAATATTTAAGGCGATACACTGCAGGTGAATACTGTGAATATTTTAACTAATAGATGTTTACTTACATTCAGACAAATATTAACATGTTTGCTGAGATTTTATGTTGAAATTTGCAAATGCTGTGTGATCTAAATATCAGTTCATTTGCATTTATTCCCAGAATAGGAATCTGTAGATTGAATGGAGCCAGGTTCAACATTCTGGTTTCATCTTGTCAACATATCACAGTAAAATGATTTAATTAAAGGAGACTTTTCGTCTCCATAAATAATATAATGTAACCTATTAAAAGATACGGCCACCAGCCATGAAAAATATAAGTGTCCCCATGTTTTTAGTAATAAATGTTAAATAAATCAGGCTATGATTGAAATCTGAACCCCCCCCACCAGTAAAATCCTTCAGAATATAGAGAGGATTTAAACAGTAAAGTTTGCTTTATGTGAGAGCCCCTGATGAGGAGGCTTCTGGATCAGAGTCTGAGAACAAACTCCGTTGGAGAAAACGGCCTTCAGCGAATTCAGAATTTTTAGGTTTTTTAAATTTAACTACTTGACACGACCATGAAACTTCCTCAGGTTTTTGAATGAGAAGATATCTGAAATACACATTTTAATAATGAAAATGAGACATTATCGACTGGTTGCATTTGGTGAATTTAGGGGAAATCTACCAACACCAATAGACAAAGCTGTCAAATAAATATTACACACAGGACAGTGTTTGAATCTGTCACCTGAATGCAAACTGTTATCGGCAGTGTTGGGACGCACGGTCTGAATGATGGTTTTGTCACATTATGTAAAAGCCAGCACCCTCTCCTGCGGTTTCATGCAGAGTCCCACAGGAACTATTACTGAATTACAGCCGAGCGCTGTGGTTTAATATGGGCTGAAAAAATAACCTGAGTTCCCAGCATCAAACACTTCCTGTGCTGCGCGGTCGTCCTGTGGTATGTATATATATATATATATATATATATATATATATGTGGAGTAATGAGTGAAATGGAAGTGCGTGAATATATATGCGTGTGTGAGTGGCATTCGGGAAAAAAAATAAAAATTGGAGGAATTATTCATTAGCTCTCCATTTTGCTCTTTCAGCCTCCCTCCTGATCCTCGTGTTCAACAACTCTGGGGCAAACGCAGAATTGTAAATTAGCTCCCGGAAAGAAGAAGAAGAAGAGGAAAAAGGAGTTAATTGGCCATCCTCACAGGCTTCTTGTCAAAAAGTTTGGGGCTGATGTGTCAACAATTCCCTCACAACCTTAAGAAACAATATGCACGCTCCAGAAAACGAAATCTAGCCCCTGTGTGTCAATTAATGAAACACTTCAATCAGGGCAGGACTTCCCCTAACAGCGCAATAAGTCAATCAACCAGGCGGCTGTCACTTCCCTCTCTGCAACCTCCCAGTCGGCCTTGAATTAGGAGTCCGAGCAGGAACAATGTGAAAGGCAAAACACATCTTCAAATGTATAATAAAATACATTTCTATCCTCGCAGTGTGCGTGTGTGTGTGTGTGTGGCTGCCGGCTTACGCGTCGACTGTTTGCACCCTGCAGCTGAGGATGGAGCAGAAGGCCACCTGCGCCATAGTCTGTCTTAACCTGCCATCTAGTGGCGTGTTTGCGTTCTACATGAAAAGGATCTGACAATGGCTTCGTTTTAGCTTCATAGAAAACTTCGTAAGTCTGCAATATACAATATTCAGAGCATAAAAAGGAGCCGTATTCAGCACTCAGCATTAATATGGAAACTTTTCGATATGTAAAGATATGATTACAGGAGTGTGGACCACTTGCTCCCACGGCAGTTATAGCTGTTTTAACGTACATTTTTTCTACCATTAAGGGATTACTGTAGCTCAACAACAACAAACTTTGTGCCGCGCTTTGATACAACAATAGGATCTTCTGTATTCTTTTAATGTTTTTATTCCAAAATCTTTGTAACATATACCCAGGGCTACAATGTTAAAATGCTAGCATGTTATTGAACGGTCTGCTTCACCTGGTGAAGCCCCTCCCCCCACCAGGTTTGGTTATGTTGCTTCAGATGTGGCTTTGCTTTTGTACACCCACGTGTTCCGCTCATGGAAAGAACACACTACTTACTCAATTTCCACTACCCATATTTTAATTATGTAACAGGACCCTGTCATTTGTTAAATGTTCACATTCTTTATCACCTGAGCCAGGTCGAAACCATCTAATCCAAGAATTTTCTGGATATTCCCATTCAATGCAGCGATTCTGTCAAATAAATGTCCTATTCCTATGCTAATATGTTGGTTATTCTGGACACACATATGGTTGGTCCTGGAAGGATTCTCCTCAGTTGATCTTAATAGAGCTTCCATTTTTTTCTCTGTACTTTTTTTTTCTTGGTTTAGGCTAAAATTTAAAAAGTACACAGTAGTTATAAAATTAGTTCTGTTTATTTACAAAAATATATAGGTACAATTATGTGTAAAATGAAGAGTCTATAAATGTATGCAAGTTCCTGTCAATTCAGTCTCCCCGGGGGCCCAGGTCGCGGGCCCAGGTCGCGGGCCCAGATCGCGGGCCCAGATCGCGGGCCCAGATCGCGGGCCCTTGGCCTCCATCCTGTCCGAGGTCCCGGTGCAGCATCGGCGGTGGACTTTGTGGGGTGTGTGACTGGCGCTCAGAGTACAGAGCGGTATTTACATGCAAACATGAGCCACACTGCACATGCGTTCTCTGGGTAAGCGAACACACGGACGCGTACCGCGAGCCTCACATGGTCGCCACGGCAACACACTATCTCCTCACAGAACACAGACCTGCACAAAAAGTGACAAGAGATCAAAGGCATGGAATAGGAAGTATTAAAATGTGTTTTTAATAAAACTATACTTTTAATCTTAAAGGGAATACTGGATATCCTGGACCTGTTAAAAGCCCTGCAGTGTTTGGTTTGTCTCTCCTGGGCTACTGTAGCGACGTGGCAACGGCCCCCCAGACTGGGTTCTAAATAAACACTTGTCCCTTTCCTAAGAAGCCCAAGTTGTTCTAGTTAGAACCTTTTAGTGCTAAGATGTTCAGTCAGCTAACACGCCACACGTATTTGGCAAATTAACATCAAAGGAGATTGTGTTTGTGAACCAATTCAAAGGATTAATCAACTTGCTTACGATGGTCCAAGGTTTGTTTCAACATGCACACAATACGCAGAATACAGCCCGAGCAAATAAGCCCTTGATTGATATTTTATCTTTGTTTGCCATTTATTCCCTCCTTTGATAATCCCTTGACTTTATAACGAGCAGGAACATCTGCAGGGCCAGAGTCCCCACTGGACTCTGTCTGGGAAGCCGCAGCACTGTGCGTCCAACACGGGCAGGATTTGTAACGGAGACGTGGAATGTTGCTCCTATAAGGAGATTTACGTCTCCCTCTTGAGCTCTTAGTTGAGGATCTGCTGCAATGCGCTGCAGCTGGTGGGGATTTGCTGCCTTAAGTCAAGTATAGTGCAAACAAGTGTCTCACGGGGCAAAGCGGCTGTTTGCAGTGCTGGGCCTCGAGCGGGCTACTTTACACAATCTCCCCAAATGTTTCCACAGCCTTCCCACTGAATGGGGTTGACAAATCAGATTGAGGGATTCTCCCCCCCCCCACCCCCACCACCGGCTCACCTGAGGCAGGTAGCAAAGGCCCTGCGAGCGTTGCGGTGCAAGAAGTGGATGGGGAAGCCTTTGAAGGTGTGCCCGTCTGGCACCGCCCTCCTCACGGCGTCCTGGAACTCCTCGTTGCCGCACGAGACGCCGGTGCAGCGCTCCAGCTCGTAGGCCGACAGCGCAGAGGACAGCAGATAGGACAGGTGGTCGTCCCACACCGTCGCCAGTTCCAGGTCCTGGAGTGGGGACACTTCTCGGTCACTCACACATGAAACGCACAGGCATTAAATGTCCTCATCCCGTCCAGCTCGGAGTCTTACCTTCCTGTGCTCAGAGACCAGCAAGCGCATCTCCAGCTCCAGCTGGTTGCTGGCAGCAGCTGGATCCAGAGATGGGGCACAGAGAGGAGGCAGCGGGGGCAGAGATGTGGTGGAGCCCGGGGCGCAAACGGTCTTCAGAGCTTCTTCACTCATTGCCTTCCACCGAGACTGATTCTGGAGGAAAAAAAGCTCTTATCTAGACTAGAAAAAGAACCATTTCAGTGTAGCCGCTGCCTGCCTTCAGGCGAACACGACAGGACCACCAGCTGCTGATGAATGGAACTGGTGCAGATTTAATTTCCCTGGAAACCACTCACTGCTCCGGGCTGTCTGACTCACGCTGTCCATTCCAATTTGGGCGACTGTGGGTGAGCGGAGAGTCGTCCTTCAATCAGAGGGTTGGCAGTACGATCCCCAGCTCTGCTAATCCGCATGTCAGCGTGTCCTTGTAACTCCCTTAGCTGTGACTACGGTGTGTGGATGTTAGTTACTGGAGGCAGGTGGCACCGGGTGTGGTTGCGCCTGTCATCAGTGTATGAGTGGCTGAATGAGGACGCGCTTCGAGTGGTCAGAAGACTTGAAAAGCGCAGTACAAATACAATCCGTTTACCACTCACTAGATCTCTCTGGCAGTGTTTGCAGCGTCAATATCACAAGACTCACTTCACCAAACCCGGTCGCTGACCGTTAGCTGGCAGAGGAAACGTCTGTAATAACCATCATGCGAATAATCAATAAAAAACAATGGACATAAGATGTGAGCGACGGCGTTCTCCTACCTGCAGGTCAAAGACACAAAGCTCCACGGCGTCGGACGGCTGGCAGTTGGCCAGGAAGGTCAGGTGGTTGAAGACGCAGCCCACGGTGCGGTAGGGGGACGAAGGTTTGGGCTGGGGGGCCAGCGGCGGGGCGTCCGGGTCTATGGCCCGGTGCAGGTATCTGAGCATACGAATGGGACATGGAGGCTGATCAACAGATTAACAAAACAGATAGAAGATCATTATTATCATCATCATCATCATCCTGCGATACTGTGGCTCAAATTTATTCATTTACCAGTGATTAAATTGCCATTATCAGTACAACTCAACAGCAAAAACTAGTGCAGCTCGATAAAATACAGAAATACGGACGCTCATCCTCGTTCAAATCACCCAAACGTTCAACCATGACGATGAAAATCTTTTAGACAACACTAGGCTTTCTGTTCTTATCGGATTAAGCACTTTCCCAGATTCAAATGAAAAAAGTGTCACAGTAAAAGTGTGTTTTGAACAGGCATGTCAAATTTCCACTAAAATATTTTAGGATATAAAAAAGCTCGTGGATGACACCGCTTGCTAAGTACCAAGTGGATGTCACTACTGATAAGTAACAGAAAACCAACTCTATCTTCATGAGAGGATCAGTGAGTAAAGGACAAAAGAACATTTACTGGACAAAACATTCCAGCCAAGAGAATGTTTGAAATGTGTGAAATGAATAAGAATAAATGCAATGCAGTTCACATGATCCCCCACACAGTGTACGTAGTACGTGTCGCGTCGACATGTGAATATGAGGAGGAGCAGAGAAAGCAGCTGTGAACATCGACGTAAAGGAAGGAGGACCTGTGTGCCGTCAGACTCTCCCAGAAGGTGATGCTCCCGTCGGCGCCGCGGGTCAGCACCCAGGCGTGCGGCGTCCCCTTGGCTTTGGTGCCCACGCACACGTACGCATCCAGGCCGAAGCCCAGCAGGAGGCTGCACAGCAGGGCGGCGTGGTCCTCGCAGTCCCCCTGGGAACCAGTTTGAAATGTGCAACTACATTACCGACTGTGTTTTAAGTCAATTGGGTTCAGAGCTGCACAGCTTGCAAAATGTGCAACGGCGTAGTCGAGCATTAACCTAAATGTATTTTATTTATTTTTTATTTTAGGATTTGTTCATGAGATATTCAGATTTGATATGGCAAATGCTTACTAAAACCTTATTTTCCATATTTCCATATTACAAACCACTGTATTTACACAGATTTCAAGCATCCTCATCCCATCTGCTTGTCTAATCCATAATGTCACTGCATGATGAATTAGGAGTCTGTTTAAAGAGAAATACAATATCCGCTTTGCTCGGCTCTGTTTGCCATTCAAGTGTTGAACGCAGACATGAAGAGTCTGCTGGAGATGGCTTGTGGCAGTAAGCAACTCTCCTTCCACCCGCACAGCTTTTCCGGTAAAAAGGCCGGGTTTGTGCTGCTGCTGCACGCCGCATGCTGGCTGGGCTACTGACAAGTCCCAATGATAGATGTTCCCCAGAAGTGCTAATATGGACGGCAGCCTCGGAGCAGGCTGGGGACTGATGAGGCTAAATTAATTTTCCCCCGGAATGAAACTCGTAAATCACAGCTGCCACGGGCCACTTTGCCAGAGTTGCGTTGTGTCTGTCCTGCCAGCCGCTCACCGAGAAGAGGCGGGGAACATTTATCCTGTGGTGGGTCTGGGAAATTCCCTGCTATCTCGCGGAGATGAAAAGGCATCAGTCAGTCGACTCGGCCCAAATCCCTCTTTCTCAGAAATGACAGCGTCGGCTGTGCTCAGAAACGGAGTCAATGTAAACGCAGCTGGGCCGAGTTTGATGTGACGCTTTCTGACTCTTGGAACAAATCGCTTTTATAATAGCTAGCGGGGGCAGGCAGAGGTTAGATGGGGGTGTGTTACATTGCATTCATGCATTGCAGATCTGTATCATGCGTTCATGATTATGGTTCTTTTTACACTATTCTAAACCTTTGATTTGAAAGTTGGAACTGGGAGTCTTTTCAGTGATGAGTGTGATGTTTCCCGTGTTGTTTTGGACATTGCTAGTAGTTTAGCCTTCTGTGAACTGCTAAGGTTAAGCCTTTAGCAGAAGGCTTAGCTGGAAGAGACATGGAGAGAAAAGGTTGCGATAGTTTAGCCTATTGCTAAACAATTCCCATATCCTTGGGGTACAAATACAAACATCTACACTTGTTTATATCCTCAACAGCTGGCGCTCTGATTATTTTGCAAAAGGACAAAAATAAATCCTACCCCTGCTTTAATGGGAACGTTTGTGTTGTCATTGACCATCCAGATCCAGCAGCAGTCGGTGCATTCTCTTCTCCTTACCTTCCCCCTACACAGGAACGCCATTAACGTGCACCACTGCTCCTGCTTGCCTCCTCCCCCCACTACGGGGGCCTTCTCGTGGGCCAGCAGGCTGACGAAGCGGGCCACCTGTCGTGGGCTCTCCAGAAGTCGGCCGGCTCGCAGGACACGCACGTAAGAACAAGTCGGCCTGTTGATGCCGTTCTCGTCCTGCGGAGAAAAACACACACAGGGAGGAATTAGTGCAGATATGAATTTGAGAACTTCAGGATTCAATAATCCTTAAACTGGTTAAGAATATGAGCAATCCTCCCCCCACACCACTACACACTAAAGCAGGGAAACCAATTCATTAGGTTGGTCTGAGGAACAGCGTCTGCACATATCTGCAAGTCTGTTCTTATCTGCAAGAATAAATAAGTCGAGACACGAATGTCCTTCAAACCACGCAAAATCGCGTCACACCGCGGTTCTATTTGCACCAACCTGCGCAAAGATCTTGACCATTTTGGATTGGTTTGATGGGCGGATCTCCAGAAACTCCCTCCACCACTGTTTGGCATAAACCAAGAAGAGCCTCTCCTTCTCCGCCGTCCTCTGCCTCTCCAGTGATTGCTGAATGAGATTTACACAGTAACGTCGGTCACTACATGCAGGGCTTCCCTTGTCTCTCTTACAATGCTGGCTCCACATCGGCGCTGCAGAAGATCGAGGCTCAGCATCGATGAGTCCTTATTGCATGCGTTTGTTTCAAGAACACAGAGGCGGGCGAATAGAACGCAGTGGCAGAGATTCCGGGCTGCTGACCTGTGTGCTGATGACGGCGGCGCTCAGAGCCTCAGTGAGAGGAGGGTAGAGCTCTAGACTGATGGTCAGAACACCAGCTGGCACTTTGCATTCACTTCCTGGAGACACACAGGTTACATAAATGGTAAGTAGCTACATATATTACAACCATATGCAGACAGATTTACTGCTGCGAAACAGATATAACTGTTAGTGTTGCACAATTTTTGTAAAATATTGTTTTTGTTCTAGCAAGCCCCAAATTTCCCCTTTGACTGGGGGATGCCAAGGTGTTCCTGGGCCAGTGTAGATATATAATCTCTCTACTTAGTCATGGGTCTTTCCCGGGGCCTCTTCCCAGCTGGTCGTGCCTGGAACACCTCCCTAAGGAGGCGCCCAGGGGGCTTCCTCACCAGATGCCCAAACCACCTCAACTGGCTCCTCTCCAGGCAAAGGAGCAGCAGCTCTACTCCGCAACATCTTCCCCTCACTCGCAAACAAGACCCTGAGATATTTGAACTCCTTCACTAATTCGGGTAGCAATCCATCGGTTTCCTGCTGAGAACCACAGCCTCAGATTTAGAGGTGCTTATCCTCATCCCGGCCGCCTCGCACTCGCTGTAAACCGCTCCAGTGAGAGTTGGAGGTACAGACTGAAGATGCCATCAGGACCACATCTGGTCAAATCAACGAGGAGATCCGCATAGCTGTAGACCCTCCTCCCCCCAAACTCGCCTCAATATCCTATCCATGAATACCACAAATAGAATTGGTGACAAGGAGCAGGCCAAACACCACCGACTTACTCACTCTGTGAATAAACCTATTTAGAAACAAAATCATTGTATAATTGTTACACAAGGAGAACTTAGGGATTATGATTACCATTTTTTATAATTGATTGTAAAGAAAGTTGTGACCCATCTTTGATGCAATAAACCTAAATGCAAGGTTAAGTGATGCCGGTGTGTTTAAGTGCAGAATGAATTTTAAGCAAATTTGATCAATTGTTTTGGCCAGGATGACGTCGCAATTTCATCTCGTCCAATCCAAGAGAGATTCTTTGTTTCGAAGTAATGTTCTTTTCCAATAAAGTATTCTACTCCAGCAGTGATCTGAATCATTCGCACTCCTTAACATGGAGACAATCATTTTTTCTTCTTTTAAAGCACATTAGTAATTCAGCATTCACTGCAGTAACCGTTCCTCACCAACGCCCATCAGCTCCACAGCAAAGCAGGTCTTCCCGTTGGGCGAGCCGAGGACCGCCCTCCAGTCCAGGAAGTAGGACGAGACCAGTGCCGTCTCACCGGAGGTGTCCGTCCTGATCAGCACTATGTGAACCGGGTCACACAGAGACAGCATGGCGGTGGCGTCGGCCATTTTACTGCCCTCACCTAAGCTCCCCCCCAAAAAAGGTTGTATCACTGACAAATTACGCAGCACCACAAGATGCCAGGCGGACTGACGTACCGGTTCCCTCTCTTTGGACCTCCAGGAGGAATCCCTCCTTCAGGTCAGGTTCGCAGGCGCAGGGCACCGGCTTTGAACGGAACCTCTGGTTGCGGAAGTGCAGGTAGAGCGTCAATGTGGAGCACACTTGACCGGGTAAAGGCTCTGGTTCCTGGAGATGCTCCAGGAAGGCCTTACCACCAAGCACTTGGACATACAAGTGCCTCCTGGACGGGTCAATAACGGCTGAGAGAATGAAAAGTCTTCAACATTAAGATGCACAACTTGAGAGAAAGGAAATGGGCCGTGCTAGTGTGTTGGCTTAATACGTTTCTTACTTTTTTCAAGCAGAGTGATATTGTTGTTATCAAGGTGAGGAGCAGCCTTAGGACGGGATCCTCTTTCGGAATCTGTTTGGACTTCCTACCAAAGCAGACCAACATGACAAAAATAGCTTAGTCAGCTGGTGATTGAACTCATAACGATGTCTACAGTTGAGAAATTGTTATCTGCAATTGGGTTTAAATTAATCTAAATTGCAAGGATTATTTACTTTTGTTTTTGAATCCAATAAATCTGTGTGCGTAATTGTTGAATATGCAACTGAGTGACTAATTGTCCATTGGGTTTTGCCCAACCTGGGTAAGGTGTAGGCCCTTCATCACATCCTCAATGATGCCCCTACGCTGCAGAGCCTGCAGGAAATCCGTCTCAGACAGGGGTCGCCCTGCCGGGCCCTGCTCCTCCCTCACAGTCGCGGCCAGAACCTCTCGGATCTTTCCGTGGATGTCCATCTTTTAGACAAAGGAGACCAGATAAACCTCCCGTTCACGTACACGTTTTCCTCAGCAGCAGTGACAAGCAGATGCCTGAGAGCTCCGCAATTTATCAAAATACCTTGTTAAGAAACACGGTTCCCCACCGCCACGACAAATATGATTAATATTATCGGTAAACTTGTAAGACGGTACTGGTGCAAGGTTTTCATTGGGATCTTGTGAGAGCGGAGATTGTGGTCACACATGCATGTAAAGTAAACAAAAGGAATATTGGTCCCATCGTGATACAGGTGCTGATAACCAGTCAGGACGGGTCCCAAACCCGGTGTCGTGTTATAAAATCAATTTAAAAAGTGTCAAGAGGGACAAGCGCATGTCATTTTCACAATAACAGGTCAATTGTCACTCTCTGTGGCCCGTGGTTGGGGACCTGATCTGTTACATGCAGGCAGTATTGCCCATTCATGTATGTGTGCATCTCTACTCATCTGCTAACAGGGTGGCTTGCAGGGGGGGCAGCTAGAAAATATCAATCAAATGTTGTTAAATAATGCCATGCTATGCTGCAGCCGAACTTAATAAAAGATCTATTTACGTAATGCAAGAACTTACAATATCTATAATGTTGACACAATCTTCAATGAGCACGAAGACATTTTGCTAGAAGGTACAAGTCTAACATGACGTTACGTGTAATTATAAAAGCGGGTCTCAAGAAGTACCGCACACAAAGGCCCATTGTTTCATAACATAAAGAGAAGTGAAGCTCACCTTGAGCAGATGGTTGTGAATGATTTGTTTCAGCTCGGAAGCTTTCTCTGGGGGCAGAGACATCACAGTGAGTTGACGAGCGTTAGCTCTTTCGAGCTAACAACAGCTAACTACGTTAGTAAAAAGGTAACTTAAAGTTACTATCCGACGTTACACTTGGGTTTGAGCAATACAAGATCCTTGTAAACATATTTGCCGGGCGTATCACGACATTAATCCAATGTATGTGTCGGTGGATGACAACCACTCATAACAAACGCGACTGCCAGTTTGAACTGTGGCGGAAAAGCAAGCGGCAACGCGGCTAAACTGATGCCTGACTGCGGCCTGTGGTCAATATGCTTCACGTCAACCAGTCTGCCCTACAGCAAACCACGTATGTCGAGTGAAATATCACAACATGTCCTTTTTCATTTGAAGGGACGTCTGATTTAGTTTTATTCTATCTCGTTGGGAGCAACATGACGTTTTATTCAGGCATCGTATTAGTTACCCTGTTGTCACGTGTGCATCAGTAGAGGACCTCTTTGTAGTTCAAATGGAAGCAGCCCAGTTTGGTCTATGAACCTATTACTTCATATTACATTTTATCACCAGCTTGTATTTTGAGTATAATTCAGATTTTATAATATAAGCATTTGTAGGATTATTATCATTAGAAGTACTCAAAATCAAATATCGTGGACAACTAACACAACCAATACAGGACTTCTTCTCCCCGTACGCCAATTTCATCCCGCTGACGATAGAAAATTAAATTACTACAGTAGTCAATATGAGCAAGGCCTCTTCTTGAAATATTGAATCAATTCCTGGAAACCGCGGTGGGAGCTGCAGTCTGGCTGCATTGATTTAGCTCATGGTTGAAATTACAACTGGAGCCCAGCAGTGGAGCGAAGGGGAGTGAAGCTACGTCCACTGACACAAGAGATAAAATAAAGAACACAAGCAGACAACAAGGGTTTGGTTAAAAAAAAATTATAATCAAAAAAAAAAAGAAAAAAAGATGAATGCTTTATTTGAGGAAGTATTTCATTTTTGTATGCTCCGTCATATTCTGTCTGCGGCTTTCAGCAGTGTCCAAAAACTCCCCTGAAATCTTCATGTGGAAAAACAACAATGAATGGAATGTTACGGTCAAACGTTTCTCTTCTGGGTCAAATGAGTCAAAGCCACGTCCAACAGCAGCCACTGAAAAAATCCCCCACTTCATCGCAACGGGTCCATTCATGCTTGACACATTTGGTGTAGCATCACCTCTGGATACATCGCTACTACAAACCGGTCAATGTTAAGCGGGAAACAACTGATCTCAAACACCTTTATCTGATCGTGGTGGGAAATCTTGGGGAGCACAGCCCTTTTCTTCTTCTTCGCTTCCTCCTTCCATTTAATTCACGTCAAGGCACATTTAAAGCTATCTCCACCAGCGGACGCACACACCTCCTCACTGCTATCCCCCGGTGCTCTGCTCCGACTTCTCAGTTGCACGGTTATAGCTTTAGATTGGTCCCAGTCAATTCACAACCAATTCTTCGCCAATTCTTTGTGTTCAAATTACAAGCCACAGGTAAGGTTTGTGTCAGTTATATCCAAGCGATTCCAACAGAAAATACATTCCACGACAATATTTCATTAACTTAACAGCTTCCCTGGCTGTTATGGATACCTTTGCTTTGGTTTTCCTAAAGAAATAAAAAAGTACACACATAAACCCATCCAGTGGGTAAACACACGCACCAAGCAGTGACCAACTTTTATGTTGAACGCGACACTCAAAGCTTATGAAAAAGGTGCTCAGATAAAAGAAGAAAAAAAAAAGAGGTTAGGAACATCAGCAGGGCCGTTCTCAATAAAGTATCCAGTAACACAAAAATATAGATCTGGTTGTATCAGGATGCCCTGCTAAATGTGAGTGGAAGAACAAGTGAAAAACCTCTAAATGTGTGCAGGATATGCACAGAAAAACCACAACTATTTGGCTCTAAGCTCTGGGGTCTGAACAAGACAACTTATTTGAAATGTTTAGGTGTCTACGGATGACCGACATGCACCTCACCGTTACAAATAAGGAACAAACGACACGCGGCAGAATTCTTCTTTTTTTCTCTTGCTTAGCACTGAACCTTTTCGTAAGGTTCCTCTCAAAGCGGTTCGCTATGATACAGTACATTCATCGAGTGGCAAGAAGGAAATGAAATCGTCGTGCTGGCACCAATATCCTGAGATGTTACTAATTTTTGTTTGTTTGTTAAGATCTTAACATGAAAAATATACACACACAATCGTTTTTTTTGATCTAGCGCTCCCACAATTTCTGACCTTAAGAAATAAATACCCTCAGCTATGCATCTACATCTACTTAGGGAGGTCCCTAACCCCAGGTACTGGTGCAAATTAGGAGTCTGTTTTTGGGTGTTCACTGGAAGAATATCCAGCACACCAGCAGGCCGACAGCCACGGCCGCCCCGGCGCCGACGTTGAGCAGGATGGGTTTCCAGTACAGCCACGAGTCTCGTTTCCTCTCCGAGTGGCTGAGTCTCTGTTTCATCTGCTGGACCTTCTGCGAGGTGCAGGCGATCCGCTCCCCGCGCTGCCGCTTTCGGACTCTGAAATAAGAGTTAGGTCAGCGGGTAAGTGACACTGGGTTTAATTATTACAGAAGGATTCTGTCACAAGTCAGAAAGGGGACATTTGATGAGCTGACAAGGAGCTCGCCACTTACTGCCCCGACTCCTCGGCCACGTCCTGCTGCGGGTCGTCCGGCTCCTCTGAGGCGCCCGGCGTTTCCGGACGGGTTCCTGGCTGACCGTTGGGCATGCTGTCGTTGAGGTGCGGTCGGGGTGGAGTTTGTGGGCGAGGTGGTGGTGGTGGTGGTGGTGGAAGGGGCAGATCTAGCTCCTCCTCCACATTGTCTCCGGACGCCACTTTCTGCATGTCCTGGGGACACAGAGACGCACATAGAGTTGTGAAGGAGAGGAGGACGCTGAAAGAATATTTTGGACTAGCCAAGATTCAATAACGCCTCACCAGTGATCGGGAAATCTCCAGACAACCAAATCCAACTTGGTGTCCATACAATTTGAAATACCAGACCAGAAGCTTAGGAAGAGCTAAACTGAACTAAGTGTGTTGTTGCTTCATGGAAGAGCCAGACTGCACTGCAACAACATTGCAAATGGTAAGAACACACACTGCGATGTGGTGATTCGCTCAGGAAGGGACAGCGTCGTTGTTGCAGTGTCAAGCTGTCCGCTTTGTTTCTATCAACAGGAGCAGGTAGAGCAAAGAGCAAACCACGTACTGTACACATTGCTCAGCCGCATTATGATAAATGCTTTTAAGGGGAAAAACTAGACAAAAGAGTAACACAGCGGCGACGCCCTCTGTTCGGCGCAGTTGTAACCACAAGAATTCACTTGATCTAATAATAGTTTCCAATGAGAGTTTAACAAAACTACAGTTTAAAATGAGTAAATGCAGATTTTGTAGCACAATTAAAAACAAACGTCTGTTTTTAGTGTTTGATCCATGTGACATTTGGTCTATAAGAGAGGAGGGGAGGTACGGGCTGCTCCGTACTGCTCTACAGGAAGTCAGCTAGTCAGCCCGGCCTTACTACAGGGACTTTTCTCCTCCTCAAAAGAAAATAAAGTTGGGCCGACAATTTGAGCAACATGTCCAAATATAATAATATGTATACCCCAGAGGTCCAATCTTCCTGCTTCCGCTCCAGAAGAGTTTTTAAAGCTTGTGATTCTAAACGAGCTGCAGAGCTCACCGTGGGGATGAGCTTGACTCCCTCGATGACGGCCATGTAGGAGAAGCGGAGCTGGTCAGGGGTCTGAATAAGGCCCATGCGGTATTCCCTCATGTCCAGCAGGACCTTCTGTATGGACACTGACGACTGGTTCTTCCTCCTCGCCATCTGCCAAACACATGGACGTGGTGAGAATACAGATTCAGAGAGGAGAGGCTCTAGTGGGGGGGTTGAAAACAGGACCATTACTTACAACAGGACATTATCCTACTGCTTTTACTTCAGTAGAAGGATGTTAGTACAGTCTATCTCGCTGCACTTCCTCCATTCACACCCAAAGTTATACTGTTCTAGTTCTAAAATTCTTGAAGACGTGAATCTCAGGTGTTAAGTTCCAGTGCTGATACACAAAAACCTCCCTGCGTTTATAGAGTATAACCCCACTAACATGCAACAACCTCTGCCTGTACAGCCTCGCTGAGTGCAGTCAGAACAGTGTTTCCCATAGGTTTACAGCTTAGAGGGGGCCGGGGGGGGTACACGTATAAACACTTGAATATGAACGAGCGTCGGTCCTCACCAACACCAGGCAGGTGTCCACCAGGGCAAAGGTCCCCGAGCGTCCTATGCCGGCGCTGCAGTGCACCACAGAGGGCCCGTGCTCCGGCCCTAGCGAGCCCGACTCCCGGACCTTGAAGAGGAAGTTGAGGAAGGAGGCCGGGGATTCGGGCACGCCGAAGTCAGGCCACGTGGTGTAGTGAAAGTGGTAGATCTCCCTGGACTCCCCCATCTGCAGCAGAACGGGATGTCGGGTCAGGTTTTAGAGCATTGTGGAGGCCGGTGTCCTGCATGTCTCGCGGCTGATTGGTCACTTAACAACCCATTCCCCAGCACTTGTCGATCAGCTGGACCCCATGCAGAGGTGGGCCCAGTAAGGCTCCCACAAATCATCAAACTCCCATCGTTTTCCTGCCACACTGGAGCTTTTCAAAGGCGAGAGAGGAGGAAAACCGTGCGGAAGCACAGCTGAGACCCGGTGTGTTCCAATTCACAAACGTTTCCTCCTGTACTCGTGGGATCAGTTGGGACCACGCGAACTGAGACGGATTAAGTGAACATCAGCGGGTAGCTGTCTATAAAAATAATAATAATATTTTCTTTAATACGGTTACCCGCTGCAATACCAGAACCACGGAGCCTCCGGCAAATACTCCACTAAAATTAAACTTCTCTGCATTAAAACAGTAGTTCTTATGGACTAGTTTGCCTCTGGTGCTCACCACTGTGTTCTGCAGTTGCAGCACTCGGATTGTGTAGTAGGACCGGTCCTCCTCTGAAAGCAGCCGGACCACGAACCCCGTGTCTGTGAAGGACATCTGCAGCTCCTCTGAGGTGGGCCAGTACTGTGCACACTTCTCCTGTTGACACAAAAGAATGAAGGATAAGGAAGCCATTTGCTCTCTCCGGGCTTGAGAAGGATGAAGTCTCGCGGGATGAAAGCACTTTGATCTGACTTTATTTATTCACTACCGTTGTAAAGGAATGTGTACGAATAACACTGGAGATCACGTAACTTCCCTGCACGGTCATTACAGTCAATAGTGCTGAAATACTTGGCTTGGCAGCCTGTTTACCACAAGTAATAAATAAGTAGTTCCCACGAAGCATAATAACCCTGATGAAACCATTTAAACATTGAGGGAACTTGTATTGCTCCGTTGGCTGGAAGCTGTGTTGAACAGGCTTTCTCTGTATTTCTGTTTAACAAAACAAATTTTACATGCAAACTTTTAATACAGCAAAACGTCTTTGTGGTAGACTTATGGAAGACAAAGTCAAGTTATCATAGACAATGGATGCAAAGTGCTCTGGAGCAGGAAGATCTACAGCGAATACGATCCATCCAGATCTCACACTTGGAAACAACAACATCAAAGAGCAGCAGGTGCTGAAATCTACTCACAGATCCCTTTTCAATGACTCTGTTGAGCATTATAATAGCTTTCGAACACTGTTCCCAAATCATCAGCCAGAAGTGACCGCAGGTGTTCCTCAAAGGCCCCTGCAGACGCAAAAGAAAGACATTTACAGAAGAAAATAAATCCTTTCATTGTCAAAAGCTCACAAAAAAATCTGTTTGAAAAGCTGCATAATATTCTTAAATGTATCCACAGGTTTACTGAATGTGTCCTTATGCAGCCTGAGTTACCTGACAGAGGATGTAAGCTCGCTGGGCTTCTTTCACCATCACTGAACTAGCGTTGATGTAGTCATTTTCAGAGTTTTCGAGTTTAACCCGACTGTGGTCGTCTGAAACAGGGTGGAAACAACAACGAGGCAATTACAAATCAGAAAATATGCTCGGCTCACCCTCGCAGGGGGGGAAATTCTCATTAGCAACCTAGTCGGCCTCATGACTCACATGGGCTGACGTCTCTGTAGCGGTTCAAATTCCGGTTCGCTGGAAGTTTTGCCACTTTGTAGGGAAATTCACTGGCTTGGTTACGGATCTCCTGCAAGAGACCAAATGAAAAAAGGAAGTGGGAAGTGAGGAGTATCAGACCGGTGTGAAGCAAAGCGGTGCACATGTATGACATACACTGACTGCCTGATTGAAGCGGAAGTCAGTGGTAGAGCAAACATGAGGAAAAGGTCTTTAGTACAATATGCATGTTGCGATTAATCCAAACCACTGATGTAATGTATGAAATAATCCTGGGTACAATACCCATCAGAGAAGATAGATAGCTGTTATAATAAGTTATAATATGATATATTTCAACCTGAATAAAATATATCATGTAATCGCACAGTTGTAGACAATAGCATTTGAAATGACCTACTATATGAGAAATAACATGAGCTGTGAGCTTTTCAAACAATACATTTTAATTCTGGGGAATTAACATACACTGTAGATACAGCACGCTCACTTATGTCAAGGTGTTACTCTTATACAGTAGATATTTTACAAATAATTATTTTCTCAGAATCCGGAATAGTTTCAGCAAACTTGAGAAAAGCAATTCTACTTCTCATGATAGTAGTTTGAGACCTTTGATTTCATTCGCACTCCATCAAAATATATTTTCCATTTACAAGTCCCGGGAGTTGATTTAGCATTAGCTTTCTAATTGATAATCGTCTTTAATCTAGTAATTGTTTACTAACTCTCTCTCTCTGTAACTTCCAACCAGAGCAGCGTTTTAACTGTCAACTACGAAACCTCTCCAACGGCTACACGTCCTCTGGTTAGTAGCACATTATTACACAGCCGTAGCCAAAGTTCAACCACCGGAAGAGACATAATAAAAACGCCGGGCTCTCTGAGACAGCTGGTGGTGAGACACATGCGCTTTTCTCTGGAAGTCCCGATGAGTTCTCAGAAGCTGCAGCTGACGTCTGCTAGCGTCACTGAGCATTAGCTAGCCGTTAGCTCGCCGAGCTCCACTAAGCTGCACGCTTTCCTGCTAACGTTACAAGCGTTCTAGCTACGGAAGTCCGGGACTACTAGCGCGGACTGCTAGTTTCTCATTCACCCTCCATACGTGCACGGCTCCACACATAACCTCTGCATTATGCGGTGAAGTCTAGAAGTTTCCCCAAGTGACTGAGTCGATTAGAGGGCTAAAAGTAAACCAAACACTGTGGAAAGAGTCTAACGGTTGAGCTATCCAATTAGCTAGCCAAGTCACATCAGGTTAGCAACCGATTGTCATAGAAACACGAGAGGCCCAGGGTCCCGACTTACATTGAAAAGGTTTTGCCATCCCCCGGATGAATCGATATCTTCAAATTCTTCCTCCATTGTGTCGTATCTCGGGCCCTGGGACACTTTGTAGATGATCTCAGAGTGTTTGCAGCACAGTTTACGAAGTTACTCCTTTCTGTCAGCCATCTAAACAGCAGTGTGTGTAACGCTGGGATCCCTGCGGGGAGTCTGCTGCTCGTGCAGTTGACGATGATTTGGGTTGCCAGTTGTTTTTTTGTCACCGTACCAAAATAAAAAGACGTAAAACCATATTGCTGTATTAAACATATTATGTTTTATTTTATTTTACATATTGACACACGTGTCAATACACACCCTTACAGTAAGGTATTACTAACGAAAGAAATAAAGACAGAAAGCTAGTTATTTCAACCCAGATTTGTTCACATTATACAAAAGGCATGATTAGAATGACAAATAAAAGACAACACGATGCCAAATTAACTTTTAAAAATATTTCTGACACAAACCTTAAAGTTCACTGAGTGAATACAAGTATAGGTAAAAAGAAATACACTAAACCTGGCAACCCCAGCGAACGGCGAAGGGCAGTTTACCTGAAAGTGGAGCTCAAGTGTAAATTATTGGAGTGAAATAATTTGAATCAGAATCCTAATAATCGTTGTTCGCCGTCAGCTTTGCAATTTTCAGAATTTTCCGGAATTAGCTAGTTTCCATTCAGTTAGACACTGCTCGATCTTATATCATCATAAGTAACTCACGATGAACCCATGGGAATAATCTAAAACTGGTTTGACTGCGCCCCCACGTGGTGGAGTTGCGTCATACACTCACACATGCGCACAAGACGAAGACCCGCCAAACGCTACACAGACACACGCGCGCGCACGTAAACGTTGAGACACATGACAGGCCTGCTAGGCAGCAAGCTACTTTGCTGCTAGCCAGTTTTAATCATGTTTGTAGCACGCAGTATCGCAGCAGATCATAAAGATCTAATCCACGATGTGTCGTATGATTTCCACGGCCGCAGAATGGCAACCTGCTCCAGTGACCAAAGTGTCAAGGTAACGTTGCATTGTTGTAATGTGACGTTGTATTCAGCTTGCTAATGCTAGCTTTAGCTGCTACTGCCTACTGTTATCAACGGCCTTAGCTCGTTTTACTGTCCCTTTTTCCACCACTTGCTGACATACGTTGACATGCTTAATCTGTTGTTGAGTCTTACTGTCGCATGCAACTTCACTTTATTAAATGTAACTAGTTTGACTTCAGCACACACGCTGCGGCAACGCTAGTTTTACTTTAGCTGACGTTAATTCTGTAACAGCTGTGTAGCTAATGTAAACAACGTACAGTCAACTCGCATTCCCGTGCATTTTAAGTAACGTTGCAACTGCCCTCTATTTATTTAGTTACCATTGTTACCAATAATCGTAAACCTTAGGAATGCCACTGAATGTCCCAGCATCGCAGCAGTATTTCCCTACACTGTATCTCACGTTCTCTCTCAGGTTTGGGATAAAAGCGAGAATGGAGAGTGGCATTGCACGGCCAGCTGGAAGGTAAGTTGATTCATTTGAACCACTGGAGACTGTCCTGGTAAAATCTGAGTTTATTAGCTAGCGTGTATGCAAAGCAGCATGACGATGGATGTCTCTCTTGTGTGTGTTTTTATATAACATTAGATAACGTTATATCTTGAAATCGAACTAAGACTAGTGTTGTGCTTTATGGAGTTGATAAAAGCAGTGTTCTCCTCTGTGCAGACACACAGCGGATCGGTGTGGAGAGTGACCTGGGCTCATCCAGAATTCGGGCAGGTTCTGGCCTCCTGCTCTTTCGACAGGACAGCCGCTGTGTGGGAAGAGATTGTAGGGGAGTCCAACGACAAGCAGAGGGGACTAAGCCACTGGGTCAGTGCACGCTCACAACCAGGCGCTCATCAAACTCTGTACTTTTATTAGTTGACTAGAACAGTTTATTTTACTTGAAAGTTCATTTTACATGAACATAACAGTTTACTTTTATCTATGTTCTTAATTACATGAAGAAACGCATAAAAATACTATTACTTTTTCAAGTATTTAAAATCACACAGTCATGCAAGAACCGGTTACAAAGATACCATTAGTTTTTATTGAAACACATATTGTGAGCTCTCATTTTTTGCCCTTTGTTGTCCCTATTTTGCATGCTTAAAGTCAAGAGCAACGGTTACTGTCGGGCCGGGTCAACCATTCCATCTGACCCAACAATTCCAACATTGTTCCGTTTTTAGATAAAGAGAACCACGCTAGTGGACAGCAGAACCTCAGTGACTGACGTGAAGTTCGCCCCTAAACACATGGGCCTGATGCTGACCACCTGCTCCGCGGACGGCGTGGTGAGGATCTACGAGGCCCCTGATGTGATGAACCTGAGTCAGTGGTCCCTGCAGCACGAGATTTCCTGCAAGCTCAGCTGCAGCTGCATCTCTTGGAACCCCTCGAGGTTAGATCGCAGTCTTACTTTGTGTGTGGGGACGGAGGGGGAGTAGAAGGTTTATGGCTCTTTGTTTCCAGTCGTAGCTGTAATGTATCTCACTTTGTAGGTAAAATCAGTACCGATTGGGCATTCGCGAGAAGAAAGGACTCAAGTAAAGACTATCTATCCCCTCTGAATTGCAGGTTTAGTTTGGTGGAGTTGGAGGCTGTGGGTGATGCAAAGCTCCAGATTTGCTACTACTTTGTTAATTCAACGTTACAACGAACTTTGGTCGTTGTTGCTTTTGAATAACTGTTAATACATTAAAAAGAGTGTATGGTGCAGGTAAAAATGGCTTTGGGGAAGTAGATTTCTTACAGATTTCTAACCCAACTTGTGGAATGAAAGTATGACAAAGTGCTGCTGTGTGTTTCTGGAGTTGGTCATTCAATGGCATCATTTGTCTCATGAACTGTGACCTTATTGACACCTAACCTGTGTGATTCCACTCTACCACTCAGCTCTCGAGCCCACCCGCCAATGTTCGCTGTGGGGAGCGACGACAGCAACGTGACGTACGGGGGTAAAGTTCAGATCTACGAGTATAATGAAAACACGAGGTATGTACTCCAGATGTGTTGTCCTTTTTATGAGCAAAACATCCCCCCTAAGGAGTCGATGATTGTTAAGATGTTGTCTCAATCAATGTCGTTAAGGAAATACTCTAAAGCCGAGACTCTGATGACGGTCACCGACGCCGTCCACGACATTGCATTTGCCCCAAACCTGGGGAGATCATTCCACGTGCTCGCCATCGCTACGAAAGACGTCCGAATCTTTAAGCTTGTTCCTATGAGGTGACTAATTCCACATGCGTGCTCGCTTTACCAGAAGCACTTCTGCATGCCGCCGATGTTTTGTGAAGAGTTTCCAAATGACAACCGGCCACTGAGTGAATTCGTTTTGTGATCGGACAGGAAGGAGAGCACCTCCACGGGACCCACCAAGTTGGAGGTGCAGATTGTGGCTCAGTTTGACAACCATAACTCCCAGGTGTGGCGTGTGAGCTGGAACATCACCAGCACCCTGCTAGCCTCCTCCGGCGATGACGGCTGTGTGCGCCTCTGGAAAGGTAATAAGCTGATGTTCGCTCAGGTCGCCGGCGGCTCATCGGTCTTTTCGGTTTTTCTTTTCCTGGGCGACATGTTTACAATGCAGGTTGAGGTGAACTCTCACAGGCTCATGGTGACTTTGGCCGGTAATACATTTTTACTTTTACCTCCCGCAGCCAACTACATGGACAACTGGAAGTGCACGGGCATCCTGAAGGGAGACGGCAGCCCGCTCACCGGCTCCTCCGGTCAGCCCACCGCCATGAGCACCGTTGTGGGCTCCTCGGTCCAGACGTCCCAGAGCACACTGAACGGGATGTCTGCAGGAAGGTAGGTGGTGTGGTGTGTCCGCCGCCACTCACCCAGCCCGAGCCGAGCCGGTCACAACTGACAGCTTATCGTGCCTCACACTGACCAGGACTGTAGCCGCTCACTGACCAAATGATGAGCTCATGCAAAGAGCTTGGCTTCCCAGCCTGTGGAGTTGGATGTGCTCTGGAGTTTTTGTTTTTGTTTTTGTTTTTTCTATTAAGCGATTTTCTCTTGACTTGTCCATATGCATACGAGAAGAGTTTCCTCTTTGCATTGTCAGTGTTAGCGCTAACCATCTTCATCGAATGGAAAAAAATAAAATAAAACGCTTTTATATGAATTTGATATGTGATGATTATTTGAACTGATGTTTGGGAATATGCAGCATAAACGTTCTGGTGTTGGGTAACATTGTTTTGTAAATATTGAGGGATCTCATTAGATTGTGACCGCAGTAATTGTTCTCATCAGTTCACTTTTCGATTTGAATGCATCCTTAAGCAAGAAATGCCAAACTCTTTGCTGAGCAAAGAGACTGCTTGAATGAAGCCCATTAACCAACCCAAATAACAAGGAGTGTGAACACGTATATGAATACAGCCACTGACATTTAGCCAGATGATGTAACTTGAAGAGATAACGCTGTTTTTTTACAAATGACACTTTGAATTCATAAGAAAGCTCCTCCGGTATGACTGGTGACTTTCTGTCTCTATCTGGCAGAGTTACAATTAATGAATATTTGATGCGTATATGAAATGTTCTCAAGTATTAGAGCTAATCATAGTCGATATGTGGCTGTATTTATGGACAACTTTAACAACTCTTAATTTTTACAAATCCTCTGTATTTAACAGCCTTGCAGTTTTCAACCTAACACTCAAGTCCTCTCTAAGCTTCCTAAACCCAGATTAGAGTGTTTTCTAAATGACTGCTTAAAGATTTTCTCCTGTTCCGTTTGTGAGGAATAATGTGTATTGTACTGCTTGTTGCATGCAGGATTGGCAAGGCCGCTCCCTTTGCCCCCCCCCTGCGGCAGCTGACCTCTCCAAAGACAAACCAGCATCCTGCGTATTACTAATGTCTCTTCTGCAGCAGCTGCCACTTTCCCTCGTGCTCATGTGTTTGACAACACGTCACGTTATCTGAGTGCTTCCTGGTCGAGGCTCTGTGACGGAATTGAAACCGCGCGGTTCTTTTCTTTTTTTTCTCTCACCTTCACCCTTTGTTTTGACTCTCATAATGTCTGTTAGGTAACAATGCAAATCCACCTTTTTATAGAATAAATCCATGTCACTATTGTCTGCCATTCTCCCCTCTTTTTTTTTATTTCAAGCATACTTGCATCCTCTCTGAATCTCTCATGTCTACTTCTTTCTGATGTGTGCCCACCCTCCCCATTCCATCGTCCTCATCTCCTCCCTGTCTGTGTGTTTCTCGTCTGCGTCTCCATCCATTCTTTTTTTTTTTTTGTGTTGCTTCAGGTATTTCTTTCCGCCTCTGGATCCTCCCAGAGCGGGGACCAGGTACGGTCACCTGCTGCCCCCCTCCTCCCTCATAGAGCATTGTGATGCTGAGCCCACTCAGCCTCTTCCTCACAGACTCTACTCCAGAGCACTGCTGCCTCTGCCAGAGGCCGAAGGGCTGTGATGTAGCTCAAATAACAAGGGAGTTTGCTTAAGGGAGGTGGGCGGGAACCCCACGAGTGCCATTGATTTTGAATAAAGATTCATTTTTTCTAAGTGTTTATTTTTTCCTTCATGGTGTTTTTGTGAACTTTGCAAGAAGCGGCCAGTGAAGCCGTCTTGATAAACGTTTCAATGTTGATATGTGAACAATCAACTAAATATTACCCAGATCCACTTTTGTATTCTGATTTCTTTAATTATATGGAATCTGCAATTAAAAGGTAAATGACCTCTGACTTTCGGTGCCGGCAGAGGAAGTGTTACTGCTCGGCGGTCACACAAGTTGGTCTTCTGAGTCTGAATAAACATCACAAGATATGAAAATAGTTATTTTGGGCTTTTTTTCCTTCCACGCAGAGGAAAAGGCAGCATTCATTCATGAATGCGTGACTAGCATGCAAGACAGCTCAATAGTGGGAAAATAGCTTTTCTTTTGGTAGCAATTGATCCACTGTACTTTTTTTACGCTGAGTTCCACGTTATTTTTGATACTTTATGAATAATACTCGTGAGTCGGATGTGGTCTTTTCATGAAACTGAAACAATCTGGAACATTCAGTTCTGTTTGTAGGTATGATTGGCCCTTCTGAAGTGTCTCTGTGGAAATAAACTGATACCATTTCCAGGGCTTTTGAGTTGCTGAGAGCTGAGGATTCCTTGTCGCAGCTTCACTATGAATTAAGGAAAATGCGTGCTGTGTTATTTGTTTTGACTGGAAGTACAACATCTCATTCCATGGCTCACTCGTATTGATGGCTACAAACCTGGAATCCTCGAGAGGCAGCTGTCTGCTAACTAAGACTCTTTGCAGCTGCCTTTGAGGAACACTTGATCCAACAAACTCAGACACACAGCCGGTAAATAAAATACTGTACGCCTTGGTTATGTCCCTCTGAATGATACACAAACAAATTTTCAAATGTTTCAACCTAATGGTAGATTTTATAATTGTTTACAGTTTATAGTATGTTTTTGTATTCCTTATTGCCATTACGTTATGGCTAAAGTCTAAAATGAAGTAACTCCACCCTCTTTATTTCATTCGTCTGATAAGGACAAACTATGAATGGGCCGATGCCCAAAACGACCCAAGTGTCTAAAGGTCCTACGGAATGACGGGCGTCCCATCCTATCAGAAAATACAGCCCCCTCCTCCTTGGTTGTTTGTCCAATCACAGTGGTTTGATGTGGTTAAGTCCCGCCTACGCGACATGGACGCTAACGCGGGCTTCCTGTGGTTCCTGGGCGCTGCAAACAGTTGACCGGTTTGTTTGTTGGGTCTCCTTTTAAGAAATAATGACATATTTCAGTGTTTGAGAAGTTTCTTTTGGGACTTGAATACGCCCGGCAGCGTGTTCGCACTAGCTTTTGGAGGCATAACTCGAGTGAGGTGAGAACTGTTCTGGAGCGTCGGACGTGAGTTGAAGTCCAACTAACGTAAACGTTATGATTTGTTAGCGCCATCGGTAACTAAATAAAGCAGAAATGGACCGCGGCTTTGAGGCGAGAGTAGCAAACACATCCAGCGAACCTACCCGTGTCGCCTGCAACGAGTGTTTCAACACTTGTTAACATGGTAAATAAAGATGACGTTAGTTAGCTCACATTAAGAGCCTGTTGATGATTTTGGAAATAAAACCCTCAACTAAGACTACCGAGCTAAGTATGCTAACCTAGCGAAACTAACGTTAAGTCCACTAGTTAACGTTAACCGCTTTCTAGCTAACTGTTTTCTACCCTTTTTTTCGAGGCCAAACTTTACACCCGTTGAAACAACATACACGGAAATATTCCAGAACAATATTCGCGCTAAACCGCTCGGTGCAGACATGTCATGTGGACGGTCCCGTCCCCGCAGCGCTCTGTGCTCCGATGGTCTCGGACCTGCTCCGAGTTCCCAAAGCAGCTTCCAACCTTTTTTATGTCCTTTTTAAAAACCCAACAGATGGTCTTCCCCCTAAACGAGCCCAGCCCCACCTGGCTGTGACCCCGCTCCTTTCCTAAGCATGGCGGAGAGTTTCTACAAGCTGGAGGATGAAGCCTTCCCGAGTTTCCTCTGCAGGTCGCTGGACAGCACCGGCGGCCGCGCCACGCTGGGCAACGTGACGTTGGGTTCTGGCCCGGGACTGCCAGTGGCGGCCTCCACAGTGGCTAAAATTAAACCCGGCTGTGACAACAGGTGGGAGCACGCTGACGCTCGGGACAGATGCATGCATCGATCTCTGACTCATCACACAATCGGTTTTGTCTAGTGTGGGAATGGATGCTGAAATGAGTCACATTGCTGTTTTGGAAGGTTGTTGTTTTACTAATTGAGGCGTTCAAATGCTAAGGGGGGTCAGCGGGGCTATTTATAGGCTGGAAATAGAAGGTATAGGAATACATAATGACAAAACACTGACAACTCCATAACGGACATGATCGACAAATATAGCACTACACAGTGAGTCAGTGATCTGTTTTCATGTCACTAACTATGATGTGGAGATGTTTAGCATGTTACCAATCTGTTGCTTTGTATCCGCATGTGCTCTTGCTTTACAGAGAAGATCGTGTTGAGGCCGACTTGCAGTCATCTGTTCGAGAACAGGCCAAGTTTGCCCTCAGCTTCAAAGATGACTTGTGAGTACATACATGCATGTATTTCACACTGCAGATACATGCTCTGCAATGTTGTGAAGTGAAGAATAAAAAGCTTGTGTATTCTAGTTCATAGAATTGTAGAAAGAAAACCTGAGCCATGTTATGAAATCTAATGCATGTGTTTCCCAATGTTTATTTATCTATTGTACTTTTACAGTTATGTTCTAACGACTGTTGAAATAAAAATAAAGTGAATCATGAAGTGAAAGTAATAATCCATAATTATATATGTTGTGTTGGTTTGGATAGCCACAGAGGGATGAACATTCATAATGTCTAAACTATATTTATTAATACTTTTCCTTTGTAATTTGTTATCCTAATGATTTACGTCCCCGCCTGCATTACAGGGACAATGCAGATGACTTCATTGCAGCCCACCGTCTTTCAGACATGCTGGTGAAGATTAATTTGGATGAAAGCACATCTCAAACCCGAGGCGCCATGCTGGGACTCCCGGCTGAGTTGGGATCGGTCCAAGGCCGGCCCACGGAACTTGGGACCGGTAAATGTTTACGCACTGATCATTCTTTATTCTTTTTATTGCTGATCTGTTGTTGGGCAAGAGCTTTGTTCCAGGTTTACTTCCAGCTTCAACTTCAGCATTCACAAACACAATCACAGGAAATACAAAGGAGTCCGTTTAGAATGTTTATGGTGTCAACTGTGAAAAGTTCAATGGGCATAACAATGTACCATTACGGCCCAGCCTCACGATCAGTCCTTCTCCTTTCCGTTTGGAAAGCTTATCATAGTTTGGTTCCCCTTATTCCCCACGGGCGTGCAATACCACAGTACCAGTCAAATGTTTGGACACATCTTCTCATTCAATGAGACTTTTGACTGGTACTGTATTTCTACATATATTTGTGCTTTCTGGTAAACAAAGAAGATGTGTTTTTTTAATGATATGTACGTTGTTCTGTCTCTTCTGACAGATTTGTCTTCAGGGCTTCTGACGTTTGCTCATTATGGATATAAAGATTCAACAGATGCACAGGTACACATTTTGGTAGCACTTGACCAGACTTATTTCATCTGTGATTTGCTCTTTTTTGCAGTAATTCATAGTCACAAAACTGGGTCATGTCTTTTTTCATGTGCATAACAGAAGGAGAAAGCCACGAGGCCCATTTTGACGTTCAAGCCATATAATTGAAAACCCTTTACACTGCTTAATTTTCAGTGCAATGTCTTTTTTTTATAATTTGTTATATTTCCTCTTTTTGAATAGTCTATCTCCACCTGGGCTCCACATAGGAGACAAAAGACTTTCAAATAGTGGCTGGCAGTTTGGATTTCAATCAATGATTCTAGTGTATGAATGCTGATTTACTTCTACAACATAATGATCAGGCCACTGGGAATCCGTTCCCTTTTCCCGGGCCGTTCGCAAAGGCTCAGCCCTTACCAGCCACGGCCGAGGAGGACCGCGTGCAGAGCGATGGAGAGGACAGTGACCGTTTCAGTACCAATTCAAGCTTCCTGGTGAACGAGAAGCTCATGTCCATGGACAGCATGAACAGCGACATCACAGGTTTATCTGTCCTGGATTTGAAAATAAATGATTTTTAAATTAAATTTTAAACATGGATTGCAGACATATTGTCAAAGCTTGAGTCATTGAATGAACGTGTGTTCCATTTCCAGATGATGATGATGACATTGACTCAAACAGCTTGCCTGACGATGAGCTGGAGCAGTATTTCAATAATCTGGTGCCTCCTGCCATGCAGAGAGGCAAAGTGGAGGGCCAAGAGATTCCTGCAACTGTAAGTCGTCTTTGGAACTCTTCATCTTATACATGACAGGCAAAAATTCAACAGGCCTTGGCTTGATTGATCCATCCACGTTCCCACTAATAGATATTTCTTTGTCCATAGGGACTGGCCGGCCTCACTGACATATCAAACCCAAGTTCCACAGAACCAGACCCTTACAGACACCAGTTTCTGGATGACTACAATCCGGTGAGCACATTTGCACCTTTACTGTGCTGTTTATAGTGTAGTGTAATATTTTCCCTTCCAAAAAGAGGCCTCCATTTCTTTCTTACCTCTCACTTTAATCTTTTGTGTTTAGGATGACTTCCAGATGCCGGATGTGCGTCTGGCTGCTACAGGGATGGACTCGTGCCCTGCCAGCGATGAGGACACCGAGGATGAGCTGGAGTCCATCACAAGGAGCAGCAGTAACACCAGGACGCGGCTGCTGCCCAGCACCTCCAGACAACTGGTCAGAAACTGAAAAACAATATTCTCAGACTAATTATTGTTAAAAATCCTACATACTGCAGCTCACTCATTTCGGGTCAAGATGTGCACAGAGTTTAGCTTGATGCAACTTCTGTTTCCTCCCACATGTGTGCACAGGTCGGAGAGAGTAACCGTCCCAGTTTCAGGCCGGGCTTAGAGGGTGGTAGTTCTGATGACGAGGCTTCCAGCGGCCGCGGCGGTCCATCTCAGTCTGGAATCGAACACAGGAGATCTGCTGAGGGACAAGTCATCAACCCTCCAGTCACAGGTAAAATACTGTCCTTCACCACCACTCCTTTCTTTTTGGTTTTCTGCCTGGTTATCCTGCTTTCTTTATGTATTAAATGGAGAGCTGCTTTTAGGGAACGGTTTGTGTCTGTGATCGGCATTCCTTCTGTCATGGCGTAATTCCAGGGGACGGTGGGGAT